GAGGGTGTCTATATATATAAAAAATATATATATATATATATATATATATATATATATATATATATTATATCATATTTCTTCAATTTGACCCAAGTAAAGATCATGTTTTTATGATCCAAGTATACAATCAGCTTTTATGCAGGTCGAAATAAAAGTTTGTATTCTTTTATTCTAATTAACTGGGCCTTATTGGAAAGATAATTTGATAGTGAATGCAATAAACTTTATTAATGTGTTAAACACCTTTAGTTATGTGAATCAGGCATTAGCTTTGAGCTAATGGTTTATAAAGCATCTCAACAGCAAAGACATTTTTGTGCATGCATTTATGACTAGAACAAATTCTCTATGCACACAGTGCAATTTTTAAGTTTGAAAAAGTGAAAAAAAAATGTCTTTGCAATAGCAACAGTGAATTTAAAGCACCTTAAAATAGTGCTTGGTTTAAATGTTATCACTTAATTTGACATTTAACGGCACCAGTGTTGATGATGCTTTTGTAGTAGTCTTTAACTCTAGGATTTGTTTTGTATAACCACTATTGAGATTGTAGAAAAGACGTGAATGCTTTGCTTTTTGATTCGATGGCTTTCACTAAACTGCCCAATTTGAAGCCAATAGAAATACTCCATTATCCTGTTTTTGGTACTGGATAGTTGAGTCATCAATTACAGAGTTTTGATTAGGCAGATAATGACACTGCTCTATCATTTTGAAAGTTGGAATAAGTTCTGTTATCCCATTTGAAGGGAGATTATTCAGAGCTTTATCTCTCTGGTGAAAATACTTGATAATGTTTGTTTTAGATGTTAATATCTTTAAAAAAAAAAAAAAAGAATTTGAATAAGACTGATTGTATGATTACTCTGAGAGTAACACTGTGATTTCTGATAGCAGAAAAAAAATGCACTTGAGTGGAACTGTATAAGAACAGAATGCTTCTGATTTCTTGGTAAGTGAAATGTGTAACAATGTTTACAGATAAAGTGGATGTGTTCCTCTAACTGAATCTGTTGGGTCCTGGAGGAGATTGGACGGTCTCTGAAATCTTTTAGAGAGAAAAAAGGCCCAAATAGTTTTTCCCCCCCCACATTTCCTCCTTTTTTCTGAAATGAAATACCATATCAAAGTTGTTTAATCACTTTCTTGCAGAATCATTTTGTTACCCCATGATCACTTCTGTCTGAATTTGTAGACTTTGTTTTAAATGCATGTAACTAAGTTTTGCATTGTCAACTGTCAACCTGTAATGTGTTTTGTATCTGTGAACAAGACAATGTAACAGTGGTACAATATTCTCCAATAAAACATCTAACGAGAGAAAAGTCTGTCATGATGATTTTCTAATTGAAAACCAAGACACTTACCTGATCAAGCAGAACGTTAATAGAGGGATGCGATATTGTGTTAAGTTGTTCAAACCTGTGAGGTTACCATCTGTTCCCTTACACAGGTACAAAATTGGATTTGTCCAATGTTCCATTGCACACCCGCATTTCATATATAGACTTGCAAACTGGATTTGGAATCGGTGTGAGTTATTAAACATTGATTTCACAAATAATAAAATAACCGACTCTTGTGGCCATTCTGAGATCCATGAGCATGATTTTGTTTGATACATTCCTAAATATAATGTGGCCTTAGCTTTGACGTCATTTGTGATATGACTCTTCTTTTGTTGCAATGTTAAGAATTTGTACAGATTACGCAGTCAGGAACACTTGTCTGGACTTGCCAAATGCTTGGTAAAATGCTCTAAAAAGGCTGGACGCTGACTTGAGATGGTAACATAAAAACACATAATAAAATTCAAATAGATAATAAAAATGGGATCTCGACAGATTCAAACTTTAATCTCCATTATAACAGAAGCAAGTTCATATACTTTCTGTGCTAACAGAAAAAGCCCTTTTGCTGAATTTATATTTTGTTACTTTATTTTAAAAGAAGCAATTCAGAACAACATTTTCATACGTATGTTACCATTTTGAATCGCATTTTAATGAAAGAACACTGATATGATGTGCAATATACACACATTACATATCCACCTACATTTCGAGGAATTGTGCAAATAATCTTTAATAAAAATTAAATCATACAAGTTATTCCATATTCTGGAAGTCCAGCTTAAACAGTAGATAAAAAAAATGGAAACAACACAGCAAGCAAAAGAGGACTTAAGAAACTCTTGTGGTTTCCTATGTGAGGTATTAAACCAAGCAGCGAGGCATGTGTGTTCTTGTTTTTTCTATCGCCCAGCTTCAAACTCCCATGTTCATTTGTGCGTGAGGTTACAAATGTTCTTAATGTCATTATGAATCATTCCTGTGGAGGCACACATAATTACTGCATGTGTGCAATCAGAAAAATGAGGAAATGAAACCGAGAAAGTTTGTGCGTTTGCAGTGAAAGCCACATGACACGTTTTCTTTCCGATCTTTGATGGAACTGGAAAATCCCACCACTTGAGAAAGAAATGCCTACAGACCATTATAGTAAAACATGAGCTAAATAAAGTACAAGCTATTTGACAATATAGAAAGTGAATGGAAAATAAAACCCTGCTTAATACATCAAATGTGTATATTTGAGTTCTATTTGGTTGTATTGCTTTAATTGTGCTTTATATGCAGCTGATGGAGGTGAATAAAGATAAACCTGAGAACTGTGATGCAGGGCCGTGCAGAGATCTTTGGAGGGGCAGGTGCTCAAAGTATAAAAGGGGCACATGGAGCACGGCTTTTAATAGGGCTGTACTCCTTGCTGAGACCCACACACACTCACACACAGACACACACACACACAGGTTTGTTTTTGTGAAAAGTGGGGACATCCCATAGGCGTAATGGTTTTTATACTGTACAGACCTATTCTATTATTAGGGTAATAGAATATACCTGTATATTCTATTACCCTACACCAGCCCTACCCCTAAACCTACCCCTTACAGGAAACTTTGTGCTATTTCAGATTTTCAATACACTCCATTCTGTGTGATTTATAAGCGTTTTGAAAAGGACATGGGGTAATGTCCTGAAAAGTCACCTTCTCCTTGTAATACCTGTCATACCCTTGTCATTATACAAGTGTATGCCCTCATTTGTCACAAAAACGCGCACACACACACACACACTCTCACACACACACACTCACACAGACACACACACACACACACACAGACACACAAACACACACACACACACACACACACACACACAGACTATGGTTGAGACATGTATCGAAACGGATGCTTCTGTATTGATAGCAGCAAATCCCGTGATGCAGTTTTGAAAAAGAAACACAGAACAGAAAAGACCATTTTAAGTTTAAAAGTTAAATAAATATTTCTTTGCACCTTAATCACTCTGAAAATAGAAACAGAATTAAACTAGGCCTATTATAATTGAGTTTACAGGGTATGGTGGTTTTTTTGCTGTTGTAAACACTACTGTTGTTGTTGTAGAAAAATATTTCTGTCTTATTTAAAACCTGTATTATTTGAGACATGTATCGAAACGGATGCTTCTGTATTGATAGCAGCAAACGCCGTGACGCAGTTTTGAAAAAGAAACACAGAACAGAAAAGACCATTTTAAGTTTAAAAGTTAAATAAAAATATCTTTGCACCTCTTAATCACTCTGAAAATAGAAACAGAATTAAACTAGGCCTATTATAAAGCCTGTTTTATCAGAGTTGTGATAATTATTTTTAAGGCACTCTATGTTTTTAAAATAAATACTGTAATAAAAAAAAGTTCAAAGTAATAGCTTTTTAGTCAACTTAACTAACCCTCGACGCCTTTTAAACTTTTCCCAATCAAACAGCAAGAACGAAAGAGAACGGGCACCTTTGTTTATATTGCTGTGTAGAACCTTGCTGCATTTTTAATAATTAATTTTAAAGAAATGTAATTTCGTCCCCCGCACTTTATTCGGGCAGGTGTGTTCACGTAGAGGTTTCTAGATTTAAATTCAAAGAGACAGTATCGATAGTCTATGCATGACCTGACGTTTTATTCGTATCCAAAATGAGGAGAAGTGAATATCTGAAGCGCTCAACACTCTCATGCAGTGTGTGTTTAATTCATACTCGAAGCCGGAGGGCGCTCTCGTGCAGAAAGTCCAAAACAGTCTCATAGAAGGAATGACTTATGACGTGCAGGAAACCCTAATATGGACAAAAGCATCCGACAATCGCATGGCTGTAGCTGAGCTGAATAAAAAGCAGAAAAAAACGTGAAGACAATAAACACACGATTGCGAAAATATACGGTTTATGTGTGTTTTTCAAGTTATCTCCAGGTAATAAATAAACTTTATGAATAATGCAGTACTGATTGACATATAATTTAGTAGCCTATAGAAACTATACATTTCCTGCCTTATTCTGTAATAAAAATGGGGAAAAGGTGCTTGTAGTAGCCTTTATAAACCGATCATAAAATTGTCATTAGGAAAATATTGAACAAAAATATTATAGCCCCTTGCTGCAGCTAACCTTACTTCCACAGGCTACAAACAGCAATATAAACAACAGCTGTGCATGCTCTCTTCACGCAGTTCTTGTATAATAATAATTATTTAATAATACAAGTATACAAGCACTGCTCCGCTGAGAACTCCACTTACAGGTGTAGTGCCGAAATTTGCAACCTGCCAAATTATGCGCCCCCTAGTATTGGTAGGTTTAGGAGTAGGTGTGGGGGAGGGGTTAGGATTAGGCAATCAAGTAGTGACTTCAAGAGGGGTGCATAATCTGGCTGGGGTGCAGAATTCGGCCCAACACTGGCAGCCGTGGACATTAATTTTACTAATAGTTAGATTGGGCAGGCCTTCACAAAATGGCGTTTAATTACAAAAAAAAAATAATTGCCTTGACAAAAGGGCACTTTGGGCATCAAGGGGAAAGGGGCAGGTGCTCAAGCACCCATCGCACCCCCCTCTGCACGTGCCTGCTGTGATGTTCTCCACTGAATGAATGGAGTGCAGCTCCATGTTAAATTATGCATAATATGTGAAGTCACTGAACATATACAGCACAAGATCACTTTCAGATTGAAATGAGTCGGATTACATTCTTCATTATCGCTTATCTTATTGTGAACCGACGGGTTCTCCATATCCAGGTTAATGGACGTACAGCTTTGCCTAGTAGGTCTTTGTAGGCCTGGTTAAACTGCCGGTTCATGGCTGCGTACAACAAAGGGTTAATGCAACTATTTAACCAAGTGAGGTTTGCACAAAACATATGAATGACCTGTGGCGCACGGTTCGCCTTATCAGCGACATTCAGCAGCAGAAATGGCGCAAAACAGCCAACAAAACACAAGAAAACTGTAAAGCACATTCGAGTTACACGCTTAAATTCACTGTCCTCTCCTGAGTTGGCAGCTGGAGTGGTCTGAATTGTTACCGGAGTTGGTTTAGAAGATGTTTCTGTGTCTTTTGAGGCATCTTGAATGGAGTTTTTTGGTTCTTTTGTGCTTGTGTGGCCCTCAGATTTCTCCAGTGCTTTGTTCTTATTCTGCTCCGCTCCTGCCTCATCATGACTGATCTCACAGCTTTGAGTTGTTGAAGCTCCAGCACTGATCCCGCTGTCATCCGTCGTTGTTTCGGCTTTAGCCCTCTTGCGTTCTGATGAGCGACGACTGGGCCTGTACTTCAAAAAAGCCTTAGAGGCTACACGCACCTTACGGTAGATCAGAAAGTAGAAAAGGCCCACACAACCCAGGCCCAAGAAGAAGTACAGGAAGAGCAGCACGGTGGTGTAAGGCCGCCCTTTAGTCCGGTGAAAACTGCAGGTGCACACTTGTGGGGCAAACACGTAGACGGGCCAAAGTGGGGCGAAACTGGCTACACCCAGTAGCCAGGATGAGATCAGGAGCACCGCCACTCCACGGTGGGACAGGAGCAGACGGGCACAGCGAGAAGTGCGATGCGCAACAACCAAATAACGGCTCAAAGCGATGAGGCATAATGTAATAATGGACACGCTGTTGGACAGGAACAGGAGGAATCCAAACATACGGCACCACGTGGCTCCACCTCTCCAGTGCAGGTGCAGGTATGAATCAACACTGACCGGTTGGAGGATCATGCAGTAAAGAAGGTCAGCGAGGGCAAGGTTTACTATGAGAACATTGAAACGTGTCCTCAGGCTGGCATCAGTAGCAAAGGCGAGGACGGTCAGAATATTCCCTATGGTTCCTACCAAGGTCACAGTCGATCCCAAGAGGACGCCAAAGTAACGGTAACCCTCCACAGACGGGGACGCACAAGAAAAGGTATAATTTCTTAGAAGATCTGTGTCGTTCCACATCCTGAGAAGACACAAAACAGTAAGCTCATCAAAATCAAACATTCTTGTGGTCCTAATAAATAGGTCATACATTTTTTGGTGTACTTTTGTAAGCACAAACATGCTGTGCTGAGTGCATGTTTTATTGCCCACATGTCAATTTATTAAGGGCTGCTGGTTTAATTTTTCTTTCTGAAACTGAGTGCCACATTTTAAGGTCACTACAAACCACATCCTGTTAAAGGCACAATATATAATTTTCGCCGCTGGAGGGCGCGTATTCAAAATAAACAAAGAGGCAAAGGCGTAGTTTGATGACACCGTGACTGAGTGTGGAATCATGGGAGTTGTGTCTTCATCCCCACAGCCGATGCAATCCGACGGGACTCGGGCAGAAATCATGTTCCTGGATGAGCTTATGATTTATTAACGTAGTAGAATGAAGCAGGGTGAGGATGAAAGCCGTTGAAGAGAAACGAGGCCGCTGAACGAGCGCGACACACGGCTCGAAAGCAGCAGAGCTTTTATTATGCCACAGTCGACCGCTTCCGCTGCTTCCGGTCGTGCGTATGTGGGGGGAAAAAGCAGCGCTGTTTTATCATACTAGATACATTTGGAAGTTCTGTTATAATGCTACTCTGTGCGGTCGTCACCGGTCTAATAAAATGCACAACATATTAAAGCGTCTTTGGTGTTTCCATCCCTGCGTCTCAATGTTCATACTATCCATCCTAAATGGTATGTGAGATTAGAATAAGTGTGTCCCAAAGCATAGTATGTTGAAAAGAGTATGCCAAAAGTCACCGGATAGTCTACTATTTCAGGTCGATTTTTGAAGTGTGGCTCAGTGCACACTCTAATGGCTAAAATTGCCCACAATGCATTGCGCTTTGGGGAAGGATTCGGTCCAGAACTACAAACACGAATAAAACGCGTTAGAAAAACTACAAACGTGGCGGATGCGCGCGATCCAGGGTTAGGTAGAGAGGTTTACAAAAAGGGGGTTGAGTTACTAATAATCAATCAAAAATATTTATTTATTGTTATCCGTGTTATAATTCATCTGCAACAGCAATGTGAACTTTTATAAACATCCGCTCGGTCGTTAACTTTTTAATTCATTATTATGTAGAAAATATGAGCAGAGTTTTCTTCATGAAAGACCCGCGACTGGCAGATCAACGTAGACATCCCACCCTGCAAAAACTCATTTCAGGGAGGTAGTACCACCCCCAACAGCTTTTGATTAAGACACGTTTGATTAAGTAAACTAAATTAAGAGAAAATTTTTGAGCACATATTTGAATTATTTACAGTACATTCATTACTTTAGTATTATGTTTTCTGTCTCAAATGGCTAAAATAAATGGTAATGCAACTATTATGCATGCAGTTCATTTACAACCTTTCCTTGTTCTTTGATGTGGCTTGCTTTGCAGATTTGAGCGTTTTACTGGATGGCTCAAAGTCATAGCAGTCTGTGTCAATGACTTTATTAATTTTGCATGAAATAAAGAGATAACGGTTTGGTCTACTTAGCACATATGAGCAGGGGCGGATTTAGTGAATTGGCGGCCCCAGGCAAAATATAGGAATGGGGCCCTATACATTTGCACACATTTTCCTAGATCAACCTTGAGGTTCCTTTTTTGTTGTGATGCTTGCTTCTGCGCAATGGTGCCCCATAGTTGTGTCCAATGTTTCTACATTTTTCATGTACATGTTGTAATGGCTTTCTTTCATGTTGTAGACCATAAAATAGCAACTGATTTACAGTTTAGATACAGGTTTTCACAAAAACAAAATAAATGATAAAATAATAAACCTCACAATTGAGCATTTAAACCAGGGGTGAGTCAGAAGTGTATATTATATGTATATATTAATTTAAAACGGGGTTATGTGGGTGTATTTTCACATTGGTCTGAACAAAAACTACAGACTAGATTATTGAAAATGAACATTCATTCTCTGCCAGTAGGAGCCGCTTTTGGAACGTCAGAAATATAGCGGTTTCCCTGGTGACGGCTGTAAACAAAGTAGCGCTCCTCTCATAAACGCTACTTTATCAGATAAAATTAAAATGCCATCGAAACTTTTCTGAAGACAGTTGGTTCCATTCAGAGATTCATTCATATAAAACCTTGAATTAGTGAGAATGAGAAAAGTCTGAAAAAATATAGCCTATATTGACGAGGAAAGTCCACTGATGAGTTACCATCGTAAGCCTGTGTGCAAAGGCTGTCTAATTCTAAACTTCAAAATAAATGTATTTTTTGTTATTTTACCTATAAATGTAAATAAAACTGAAAAAAAGAATGAAAAGACAATTATACATTTAAACACCTAAGGATTATATCAACCAAAAAAGTAACTGCGTATGTGTAAATGCGTAAACATAAAACCATGTCTGGAGAAACGACAAACAACAAGTGCTACTCTTACAGGTTTTCACAAAAACAAAATAAATGATAAAATAATAAACCTCACAATTGAGCATTTAAACCAGGGGTGAGTCAGAAGTGTATATTATATGTATATATTAATTTAAAACGGGGTTATGTGGGTGTATTTTCACATTGGTCTGAACAAAAACTACAGACTAGATTATTGAAAATGAACATTCATTCTCTGCCAGTAGGAGCCGCTTTTGGAACGTCAGAAATATAGCGGTTTCCCTGGTGACGGCTGTAAACAAAGTAGCGCTCCTCTCATAAACGCTACTTTATCAGATAAAATTAAAATGCCATCGAAACTTTTCTGAAGACAGTTGGTTCCATTCAGAGATTCATTCATATAAAACCTTGAATTAGTGAGAATGAGAAAAGTCTGAAAAAATATAGCCTATATTGACGAGGAAAGTCCACTGATGAGTTACCATCGTAAGCCTGTGTGCAAAGGCTGTCTAATTCTAAACTTCAAAATAAATGTATTTTTTGTTATTTTACCTATAAATGTAAATAAAACTGAAAAAAAGAATGAAAAGACAATTATACATTTAAACACCTAAGGATTATATCAACCAAAAAAGTAACTGCGTATGTGTAAATGCGTAAACATAAAACCATGTCTGGAGAAACGACAAACAACAAGTGCTACTCTACACTGCTCAAAACTCGCGTTTGAATCATCAGTGGCAAATTCTTTAAATATAAAAAAACTTACTTACAGGCTGTGAGTCAGAGGCCCCAGACTGTCCTTGCAAAGTTGGAACTGCCCCACTTTATATTGTAGGCTACTCTCACAGGAAACAGTCCTCATCCTCTGCAAAATGTGCTGCACACATCTGAATATTTGGGTTGAACTGTTCTGGAACAGTGTTGTAAATACAACTTAACCACTGATTTCTAGTTGTGTCCTCTTTTGGAAGGTCAATCTAAGTAGTTTCGCTTTCACAACGAAACACAGCGTCACACACGGCGGTCTTGAGTGAGCGGCGGCCGGCGGGCTTGAGAACGGCGCAGCCGGCGGATTCGATGAAGGAGCAGCCGGCGGGCTTGCGGCAACCACATGTGATGACCCCGGGCCGGACTACGCTTCGTCCACGGTTAAAGCCGATCCGACGATCCACAGAGCAAAGTTGATGTATTTCCTCAGCGGCCAGCATGGATCAGCTCTAGGCATGACTAAGCGGATATCGTCCTCTTTTGGACAAACAAAGTAGTTTCGCTTTCACAACGAAACACAGCGTCACACACGGCGGTCTTGAGTGAGCGGCGGCCGGCGGGCTTGAGAACGGCGCAGCCGGCGGATTCGATGAAGGAGCAGCCGGCGGGCTTGCGGCAACCACATGTGATGACCCCGGGCCGGACTACGCTTCGTCCACGGTTAAAGCCGATCCGACGATCCACAGAGCAAAGTTGATGTATTTCCTCAGCGGCCAGCATGGATCAGCTCTAGGCATGACTAAGCGGATATCGTCCTCTTTTGGACAAACAAAGTAGTTTCGCTTTCACAATGAAACACAGTGCCTTCACGACATGGCGGTGGCGGCAACAACAATACTACAGCGAGAATAAATGTTTCTTTCTTTGCGTGAACATTTGGGCGGCTATGAAAACCTTCCCATCGTGACATAGACATGTGGGGGCATGTTAGAACGAGCCGTTTTAGGTAGGAGTGGCTGACTCTTAACTTTTATAAAGAATATCTCTTTGGATTTGAGACTTTAGTCTTTGCAACTTTACAGATCTTCTTTATGCACCAAGAGCTTGTAAAACTCCAAAGAGAAAGGAAAAATTGAAATCGCATCATATGAAAATCTTACATATTGTGCCTTTAAGGCACCTCTGAATATCTCACCTTTGTTTTTTTTTCTCTTCCTAACAGAGTGAGCTATAGCCTACAGACAACAAGCATTATGGACATTTTAAGAGACTGCCTTTTCTTCTTAATTCAAACTGAGATAATGCATAATTAACCTACATTTTGAACTATTAAAAAAAATATATCTATATTATACTATAAATAATATACATATATATATATATATATATATATATATATAAATGACCAAATTGTTTTTATTTGCTTATTAACAAACAAACAAACAAACAAATGACAATACTTTACTGACAATACACTCTTAAAAATAAAGGTGCTTCACGATGACATAGAAGAACCTTTTTGTCTAAATGGTTCCATAAAGAACCTTCAACATCTGAAGAAACTTTCTGTTTCACAAAAGTTTCTTTGTGGCGAAAAAAGGTTCTTGAGATTATAAAAAGGTAATAAAGAGATGGTTCTTTAAAGAACCTATGACTGAATGGTTCTTTGTGGAACTAAAAATGGTTCTTCTATGGCATCGCTTGAAAAACCTTTTGAAGCACCTTCATTTTTAAGAGTGTAGAGTGTATTTTGTTAGACTGATTAAAAATAAAAAAAAGTTCCAGTCATTGAATTTGATTGACTATCAGTCTGTGCATTAATGGTGGGATTTTTAAAACGAGGTGAGGACAAGTGACAGATCTTTAATATTAAATCTTCAATGACTTGTTCAACTGATTCATTCAGGAACAAAAGGCAATAACAATAGCAACTTGTGTTGAGCTCTAGACTCGCGACTGATAAATGTGCGCTGGCTTCGTTTAGAAGAGGAAAAATTCCAAACGAAAACGTAAGTTACTTAACACTATCGTCTTGTTTAGCGAGCTGTTGTTTAAAAGCAATTATCCACCCTCTAGCCACGCCTCCACAGTCTCCTTTAGCCTCATAACTGGTACTGATGTTTTACCTCAACACGTTATGTGTGCGTGTGCTTGAGACATCTGTGAGCCAATTCTGTTGCACAATCCTGGAAGAAACTTACACAGTAACAGTATTTTGCCAATAGATATGGAGAAAGAAAGAAAGAAAGAAAGAAAGAAAAGAAAAGATTGCCAACGTCTTGCTGTTCTTTTACTTTGCTGATTCATTTAGGTTAATATTTAGATTTTTGTCACTTGTGGAAAGCATCTTGACTAATCAAATTAGAGAACTGGAACTATTGTATAAATCTAAATTTATATAATCCTTTAAATCACTGATTGTTCTGTATGTACGTCTTTTTTTATATAACAAGTCATAAAGGTTGAAACTGTTTAAACAATTTTAACAACCACCACCTTCGCTGAAACATAATTGTCAGTTTGGTTTTTAAATGAAGGTTTATGGCAGCAGCACAATATCCCTAGACAAAGAACAAAGTGTTTACACAGTAGACACCAAAAAAATACAAGCAGTTTTGCTGATAAATAGTAGGCCTACATTCTGAATCAAAGCAATATTGCCAGTTTATTAGTGTATAAAGTTTCTTATATATATACATGAATTAAGCAGATCAGTAGCAGGAAATCCTGATATTCTGAACTTTCAAGTGAAGCTGTACAGATATTAAATCTCTAAATCATGATGGCACAGCTGTATTTGCTCATGATAAGCTCCAGATAAGCATGATTTACAACTAAATCAGCCTAACTGATCTAAGCTAGATAGATAGTGTAACGGGGCTGACGAGACGTGAGACGTGTGGATCCATCTGCAGGCTTTATTAAAGAGATGTAGTACACAGGCAGGGTCAAAACAATGGCAAACAGGTATATGGCGGGCAAAACACAAGAATAGTCCTAGGGCTAGCGTAGGTCACCGATCAGCAGACAGAATCAAAAGGGGCGAGACGAGAGGGAGAAATCCAAGGAAACAGGCAAAGATCAGAAACCGCAAAAACAGGCAAGGCAAAACAAGGAAAACACGGAGACTCGGAAAGGGGTACAGGCTAAACAATACTCAGCAGAGAAATGTGGTTAGAGTGGGTGTTATATAATGAGTGAGGTAATTAGAAACACCTGTGTGCAATCAGAGCAATCAGGGCGGTATGCAAATTGTGCAAAGAATGATGGGAAATGTAGTCCGGGGTGCTATGCAACAGTTTGTGTAGTGCGAGAGTCAATGTAATGGAAAGGGTGAAATCTCGTGGTGAATAAACGGAAGTCCATGGACTGAATTCGTGACAGATAGGCAGACATTTACATTTGAGCATTTAGCAGACGCTTTTATTCAAAGTGACATAAAACAGAGAAGCAAAAGTAATTCGTCAAAGTATGTTCTAAGAATGTTTTGCTAACATTCCTATTAAGTTCATTATTTCTAAATGTTCTCTGACGTCCAGTTTTTGAAATGTTTTTTAAAAAGTACAGAATAGTACAGCTAAAAATTGACTCAGCTTGTAATTCTGCTAATTCCAGCATGACATGAACACATTTGTGACTGGTGTTTTGTGAGTTACACCAGAGGCGGTTTTGTGCAAAAAAAGACTTTTTATGCTTGAGAAGCATGTTATTGGGCTGACATGGCCAATTTTATCAGTTCACAAAGTCATCTTACAAGGAACTAGCTACTATTATTTATTGCCTATTACTTTGGACAGAAATCTAAATCGGCAATATTTTAAAGGAAATGTATTATGTAAATCATTCATGGAGACTAGACATGCTGTGCTATTTGGGATGCCAGTTATTATTTGTGTTATCATTGAGTCCAGATTGACCTGCCTCTAATAATCAATAACAAAATAAACTCAACCATTGCCTGCTCAACCGGACTATCCTGACCCCAAGACAGTCGAGTGAAAATGGATTTTAAAGAGGAAATAGAATAGACTATTAAAACAAATCATAAATGTATTGGCTTTTGAGCATTAATATTAAAATAATATAGCAACATTTTAGTTAAGGACCGTCTGTTTCACAAAGTCACATTTTGATTTGCACGTTTGTCACATTAACCTACGTTATGGGCTACACTGAAAAATAATAGAAAATGTACTGGTAATTTTCAGCCAGGAGTCCCAGGACATTTACATTAGCGCAAAAAGGTAAGACACCTGTTAAAATAAATCAATATGGAACATTCCTTCATATCAATACTGTAAAAGTATGAATTTTTTTAGAGTAGCCTATATATAATTGGTCATATTAGTGATTATTTCACTCTGTTGTTATTGTTTGTCACTAAATAAGTGTGTTATAAAGCAGATATATTGGTGGCGGTATCATGGTAACTTGTCTGGATTCATGGTAAACCTGCTGAAATTATGTCTCATGAAACGTGTTTATATCATGAATATTGAGTCAAATGTGCAAATACGTTGGTCTAGGTAAGTTTTTGTTTTGTGTAAGATTATTACTCAATGCCCTGCAAGGCGCTCTGAGTAGAGAGGATTGTTTATGCCCGACAAATGCGTAAATGGATCACTTCGACATAGGAAGTGGATACTAGGAGATATTATAATACTTTGCGTTGCGACATCACCCCCTTTCATTATTTCAGATGCCCCTCTTCAGTGCTGCACTGGCGCGACTCTGACTAGACTTTATGCTGAATGTGTCTGCTGCATTACTCTCAGTGTCTTATTAGTGTCAGTGTATGGTTTATGTACTCATTACACGTTTCACGTGTGCTCACATCGACCCCTGTTGGAGAGATTTATTACAGCAAAAGCCATTAAGAAACAGTGTTTTTGATTTAATGATTCTGATAAAAGTCATGGCATATCATTACACTTACATTATACATTACATTACATTACATTACAATACATTACATTACATTACATTATATATTAAGACTCGCTCTGTTTGTCTCTTTGTGAGAAACTTCAGAACAGATGAGCGAAACAGCACACATAAACTCAGAAGAAACACACTGAGGTAAAAATTCAAAATGTTTAGTTTATTCATAACATGATATAGTTAAGTAACACCATGACAAGTGAGCTATTTTGCTCAATATTGTCACCAGCAAAAAAGCATTCAAAAATACCTACAGAGTGCAGGCATTACGTGAAGTCTTGTGCCTGTGCGCATTTGCAGTGCGCTCTTTTATGGCACGATTCAGTCTATTAAAATACATTCAGAATGATCACAAATTCAAGACATGGGGGCAGAACATGTGTATATTTATACCACTTCATATAGTTAATCAATTTCACATGAAGAGTGCCTTTTTTCTCCAAAAATCACCATATACAAACAGTTTTTTACAACAGTTAAATAAACTAGAATTGTTATTAAGAGACTTACGTTTTAGACACCATATTGTCTGTTTTTGCACTATTTCGCGCAAAACAGCGTTTTGTTCCTGAATGAATCAACCATTTAAATGATTCGGTTCAGTCGCAATGACTCACTTATTAACAGTGACTTGCTGCCACCTACTGGCGGTTTTAATTTCACATATAAAGTTCATGTCTGTAGACACCCTGATACAAGCACTACATATAGTCAAAAATTGTGTGAAATAAAAATAAAGTTAAACTTAAAGAAATCACCACTTATTCGTCATCAGAAATGACACACCACTTCCGTAAGCACTTAATCACCCCACACTATTACGCCTGTGCACACACACACACACACACACACACACACACAAAATCTCTGTACTACTTCTGTTCTCTAGCTGGTTTCCTAATCTAGTTGTCTAATAAATCTGACATTGTGTACTATACAACGATTGTTGGATTGTTGCTTTGTTCCTCATGTGTAAGTCGCTTTGGATAAAAGCATCTGCTTAATGTGTAAATGTAAATGTATGGTGGTCACAAAGAAAGAAATCAGTTTAAAATTTCAAGTAATTATGATATAGCCTATGCAAATTTTTTTAAAGAAATGTGCAAATGCTAAGTGAAAACAAAAGTTGCCTGGGCCCACATTTAATCTGGTTGGTAACATGCTGATTTAGAAAAAGAAAAACAAAAGGATTCTACTAATGGACTGAGCTAAGTGCTTTGTTAACAAAAGTTGAACATAATATTTACACCCCTGAGTGAAGTCAGTGCAGCAGTTCTTTGACTGTGTTTGCATTGGTGCTTGTTTCTGACTGTGCAATGCATATGAAGTAGAATCTCCGAACAAGCAGGTAAAGATCATCTGACTTATGTGCAAGTGATGTGATTAAGCCTGTTTTCATATAATCCATGGAATATGACATACCTCACACTGCAGAGACACAAAAACAAAAATATAAGTTGTGAGATTAAGCAAGAGAGAGTTACTTTTTACTTTACTTTTTATATATGCGAAGTGTGTGTTAAATGCATTTTATGGTGTGCAGTAATAAAATATGACTTTATTTTTGGTTATGTAAAATGTATGCAGATTTGTATATCTGTATTATGCATAAAAATATCAGAGCAACTGGCATTTATTTAAAAAAAAGTAAACACTTTTCAAGACATTTAATAAAAAGAACTGGTAACACTTTACAACAAGGTTGTATTAGTTAACGTACAACTGTCCATTGTTAGTTCATGTTATCTCAGATCCATTAAATTATATTAACAGATGCAACTAATGTTCACAAATGGAATTTTATTATAAAGTGTTACCAAAGAACTTGGAAAATAAAAACATTGTCTTTATACACCCATTAACAACCACCTTCAATTAAAGGTGAGTTTTCTAAAAGTGCATTTGTGTTTTTTTGTTTTTTACTGAAAGGAATGTGTTTGAACTTACTGGCACAACGCTGTCTGTAATCTCTGCAGCAGTTTATACTGCAGTTAGTATTACAGTTGCAGCGAAAGCGACTGTTGTACTTCTCATTGCATCTCCCCCTACAGGAGGTTGAGGCTGCACATACAAATCATTTTGCGTTAGTCAAGCAAGTATGCTCTCTTACGTGGGTATACGCTGTGTAGGTGTTTGAGAGAGATTTTTACTTAGGCTGGCAGAGGAGCATGAAGTCGGGGGGTTGAAGGTGACAAATCCTGGCAGGTTCTGACCAATTCTGTTGGTGATCCAACTCTGATATCGAGACACACGGGTGTAAACACCAGGTGCGTTGGGATCAGCACAGCCATAACCCCAGCTGGTGATGCCAGACTGAACCCACACTGTGCACTGCCTGCTCACCATTGGACCTCCAGAATCCCCCTACAGAGAGGGACAAGAGGAAAGAAAAGGGATATTCTTCTTATCACGACAGGCCAGTTAGTTGTGACAGGAAAACAGCTCTCGCTACTCCATCCTATGCCCACAGAAGCAATACAGCCCATGTGTTTCATGTACAGAAAAGGAGTGTAATTTTAACTGTAAAAGGCTATAAAAATGCCACAGTATAAACCTGTTTACGGTAAAAATTAAAATGACAGTTTTTTTAAGGAAAAAATAAGTTATCATACAATTTACAATGAAGACATGTCCAGAATTAGCTGTGTGACACTTTCGCTAATGTTTTTTTTTCATTGAAATAAATGTTTTGTCTTAGTTTTTGTTGTACATCAGGGTTTCATTTGACATCTTATGTTTTTAAATAAATATTTATTGCCATATTTTAGAGTTACCTTAATGGTGTTTTGTGTTTCACCTGTAGTTTTTGGTGGTTGTCAGTGTGTTATAAAGTTACAAAACAAATTTTTGTTACTTTTTGGTAACAGCGTGTATGTTTACACTACTGGAGCTACTTAGTTTTAAGCATTTATCCTAAATAGACGATGTGAATGCAAAAAATATAATTGTTGTACCTGGCAGGTGTCTTTGCCTCCCTGTGTCAAACCAGCACACATCATGTTGCTGGTAACAGATCCAGAACCCAGAAGAGTATTACATCGATCATTAGCCACCACTGGAACCATAGTCTCCTGCAGGATCCCAGGAGAAGGTAAACTCTCTGAACACCAAAACACACATACACAACCATCTATTAGTGATGTTAGGAGTAGATATATACTTGAATTAATGGGTTTGTACGTTTTTGTACCTCCAGCTTGAACATTTCCCCAGCCTGTGATCCAGCTGCTGGTGCCAGAAATGAAGACGCTGCTCTGGGCCGCCAGACACACGGGTCTAATATAATCATTAAAGGTGACTGTGGAGGACAGCCGGAGCAGAGCGATGTCATTGTTGTTTGTGTTGCTGTCATAAGAGGGGTGAACGATTATGGTTCTCACATTTCTACTGATTTCATGGGTATTGACTCCCTCCTGTGTCCTCCTTCCCAAATACACACGCAGACTGGATGCACTGACACTAAATACAGTTAGAGAAAGTGAACATGAGACAAAAGAAGGAAATAGAAACAACAAAACACAACTAACAACAAAAAACAACTAAGTACTTTTGTTATTTTTTAATATAGTAAAGTAAATTCAAAGAATTTCAAACTGGCCCAAGTTAATTTTAGAGGGGGAAAAAAATGTGGAAAGGCAGAACAAATTGAAACCTAAATGTCTTTGAATGCCAAACGTTTTCACATTGCATTCACGTCAAACATAACAAAATATCTTAAGACATCATGACAGCCTTTCTTTCTTTCATTCTTTTTACCTTTTAAAACAAAACAGGTGCATATGAGTGTTTAGGTGAATCTTACCCAGGTAAGCAGTGAGCTGCTGTCAGCACCCATTCATTGTTGATGAGGGAGCCTCCGCAAAAATGACCTCCATAGAGAGTGCTGTGCAGACTGACCTGCCACGGCCACGACCCATCAGGTGCGTCCACGCCACCAACAATACGAGTGTTTAGAGGAGCCTGTCCACAAACTACGAGAAAGAGAAAGAGAGATTGTTCACATAAGTATTTCTACATAAACTATTTTACTTGATGCTGATGTCTTTAGAATGAGAGGAGTTCTTACCATTCAGCTGAGAAAGTGAACCTGCAAGGGCAGAAATAAAGTGCACATTAGAACAATTTCATCTTCATGTTTCCCTTAATAATGACCCTGCCAGAGTTCACTGCACTGATTATGGTAGATTTGTTGTACCATTAACTTGTGGGACTGAAAATGCGGAAAACATTTCTGGGCAAACCGGTTTAATTACAATAAGCAAAACTAGCAGCTTTTCTTTCCCCTAACCATTTAACAATGACATTTGCCCCATGTCCTGCAAGTACATTCCACATGCCCAGCAGGTGTGGCTCACAATGTAAAACATTTATAGGCTTCCGTAACAGTAAAAAAGAAAGAATCAATTATAT